GTAGTAGTTCTGATTTAAATGGGTTTAAGTTACTGTGGGATTGCATGCTCAGAATATGGGTCCCTGCTCTGAATTGTGTGAAGCCCTGTTTGCTCACTGACCTTTTAGTCACTGTTAAAAAGTAGCAAAAGTTTGGAAATACCTGATGGTCATTCACAGTTGCTTCCTGACTAAATTCTCTATGATAGAAAGCTGTGTGCCTTTTAATTGTTTTAAGGCCATGTTTTAATTTTGGCAGTGAAGTAACTTTCTAAGCATGAGAATTTAAGACTATAGTAGTGATTTTATTGTGTCAGAGAATATCAGCTCTTCCCACTGGCATCTTGCATTAATGAGTGCGAAAAACGCCATTCACTTGTGTTAACATTTCAGAAGTTTAATAGCAATAAAAATAGTAATAAAAATTAGGACAATAAGAATTTGGATAATCAAAGTTAGGACAATAAAGGACAATAAAAGCAAAGAATTATGGACGTCTGTGTGCTTTGCATTCTGCCACAAAAGCACGCTTTGCTAACAAAGGATTAACCCTTAAAAGCAATAGCCTATTGCATATTCATATATCTCATACATGATTTAAGCATTCCTTTCAAACTACGGATGTTTCTGCTTAATTTCAGCTTCCCCCCCCCATCTTGTGAATCAATCGTCTTGGTCCTTAGAAGTCTGGGTTGTCCCGATAAGGAGGCAATCATTCTTCTCTTGGGATCTTGGTGTCTAGTTGTTGTTATCTCTATGCAAAGAATTTCTTGATTATCTTATCCATTCCTTGAGCTAGTTACAAAAAGTATCTTACATCACATAGTTTCTATTTTAATATTATGCTAATAGCCTAAACACTATATTTACCACAGTATTTAAAAGAGATTAATACAGCACTACCTAAAAGACATTAATACAGCATAACTTTCCAACATAACACATATAGTATTTATTTTAATATTTGTGAAGAGCCAATCATATAATATGCATTTTTCACAATGACCATGATGTATGAGATTCTGTGTCAGGGTGGTCTTTCAGTGGTAGGAACTCACTGTCCCATATTTTGAATCAGTTCTTCATAAGTGTCTTACAGATTTGAATTTAGTGCTAACCCTGCTGGTTTGGTACTGCTCTTTTGTCTTCACTAGAATACTTTTTGTTGCATTTGTTGATTAAACTTGGTTTCAGTTTTGACAGAAGGCGTAGACACAGCTTTATGAAGAAGTTAAGGGAATCTACTTGAAATTCAAGTTCAGGATTAACTTTTTATACCAGATCACTTTGAAAATGCCTTGCTGACTGGTAGTCTAAGACTGTGCATGGAGCTTCAGGAACAACATGATGTTTTTCTAGCAGTTTCTAAAATTGTTAGAAGTTCTTATTGCTGTTTTCAGCCAGTAGTTTATTATGCCCATCCTGGTATGGTATCGTACATATGCCTTGTTTACTAAAACTTCATCTTATGTGTAATATGCTAAAGTTATTTTTTCCGACTTTTGCACTTGGGAGGATGAAGAGACTTCCTCTTCTAAAATCTATTTCTACTTTCATGTTAGCTATTTCAGCTACTCTCTTTGTACCTAATGTCTGCCTCACTCAAAAATATTTCTGCTTGACTGTTACTGATTTGCAGCTCCCAGTCAGTCTTGTAGTTGAGTTTGTAAAAAAACTTTTGATCTCTCTTCTGTGCATCATTAGTAAATGGTGTTTAATACTGTATTGATAGATGTAGGAAGTACAGTGCCCCCAGTAAACTTTTCTAGGTGGTTCTACTCTTTTAAGAAAACCAACCAATATTTACTAGGCAGAAAGATAATCTAGAGTGCACTCACTTCTAAAGCTGCAACCCTGTAATGCCATGGATCAGCTTCCCAGATTGTGGATTTTAGGTGGGTGAAGGAGAGAAGAGCAGTAGAAGAGGTAGGCTGAGCAAGGAGGTTTAGAAGGCTGAGTTATCAGACGGGGACAGCAGGGTCTGGGACACAGTTTATGACAGAGCAAAGAGCACAGCTCCATGTGTGGGCTCAGTGAAGAGGGATGGCAACTGCCAGGTTTCACTTGTTACCCCTTTCCTAATCTCTGTCTCTTCTCTCCAGATGATTGTGAAAAGAGTGTCAAGAGGGGGCCTAGTGTCAGACTTCATTCTTCTGTGTTCTTGTTGTTCTGCCTTGCTAGATGGAAATCCTTCCTCTTCAGGTTTACATAGTTGTCATGCTGTATAGAATAAGGGTAAACCCTTTAATCAAAATGTGGATAAAGCTATCCTGCTAATTTGATATTTCTAAGTTCTTGGGTTTGCATGGCAAGGTTTTGGCAGCAAGGGGAGGGGAGGACTACAGGGATGGCTTCTCCGAGAAGCTGCTGGAAGCTTCTCTTATGTCTGACAGAGCCAACGCCAGCTGGCTCCAAGACAGATCCACCACTGGCCAAGGCCGAGCCAAGCAGCGACAGTAGTAATGTATCAGATAACATATTTAAGGATGGGGTGTTGTGTCTGGTGCCCCATGTGTGGAGATGCGAGTTCTGACTCCATGTTTCAGAAGGCTGGTTTATTATATTATGATATATATTATATTAAAATTATATACTAAAAACTATACTAAAAGAACAGAAAGAAAAGGATTCATCAGAAGGCTAGAAAGAGCAAGAATAGAATGCATAACAAAATCTTGTGACTGCTCACAGCCTCGACACAGGTGGCTGTGATTGGTCACCAAGTTAAAACAATCCACATGGACCAATCACAGATGCACCTGTTGTATTCCACAGCAGCAGATAGTTATCATTTACATTTCTCTCCTGAGGCTCCTCAGCTTCTCAGGAGGGAAAAATCCTAGCAAAGGATTTTTCATAAAATATCATGGCTACAATGGGGAAAAAAATATTGCACAGAAGTAATTGCATCCAAGGAAGAGAGGAGTGACAATATGTGAGAAACAGTGCTGGAGACTCCCAGGTCAGTGAAGGAGGTGCAGGATGTGCTCCAGGTGCCAGAGCTGAGATTCCCCTGCAGCTCATGGTGAAGACCTGCAAGATGTCTACCTGCAGCCCATGAAGGTCCACAGGAGAGCACAGACTCATCTGCAGCCTGTGGAAGACCCCACGCTGGAGCAGGTAGATGCCCAAAAGAAGGTTGTCACCCCATGGGAAGTCTGTGCTGGAGTAGGGTCCTGGCAGGACCTGTGGCCCCATGAAGAGAGAAGCCCACATTGGAGCAGGTTTGCTGGCAGGACTTGTCACCCCGTGGGGGACCCATGCTGGAGCAACCTGTTCCTGAAGGACTGACCCTATGAAAGGGATCCATGCTGGAGCAGTTCATGAAGAACTGCAGCTTGTGGGAAAGACTCACACTGGAGAAGTTCATGAAGGACTTTCCCATGGGAAGGACCTCATGCAGGAACAGGGGAAGGACTCCTTTACCTGAAGAGAAAGCAGTGACAGAAACATGATGAACTGTCTGTAACCTCCATTCCTCATCTCACTGCACTGTTGGGGGAGAGGGGGTAGAAAATCGGGAATAAAGTTAATCCTGGAAGGAGGGGGAAGTGGGGGGAAGGTGTTTTTAAGATTTGTTTTACTTCTCATTATCATTATCTTACTCTGATTTTGATCATAATTTCAATTAATTTCTCCAAGTCAGGTTTGTTTAGTCTGTGATGGTAATTGGTGAGTGATCTCTCCCCTGTCCATTTGTGATGGGGGGTGATCAGAGCAGTTTTGGTGGGCACCTGACCTCCAGCCAAGGTCAAACCACCACAGTATTTTAGCAGTCCAGAAATGTATTTTAAAACATGGATAGTGAACTAGGGCAAGGAGGAGAACAAGTGGTGAGGGGAGGAAAAGGAAAGTCATTAAAATAGGAACTTTCTAAACTGAATTTGCCATGTCTTGGAGGTACTGTTTATTCAGTTTAGATGGTCCCCTCAAAATAAGGGGTAATTTTGATGCAAATTTGAAGCCTTTCATAGGTAATTCTGATGTTTTGACAACCAGTATATCAGTGACTTAGGATTATAACTTTTGTGTTCTGGCAAGCTTGTAGTTGTTCAGTGACTTTTTATAACCACATAATTTTGTCATTAAAATAAACATCACTTTTTTCTCAGCAGCAACTCTTGTAATAGCAAATAATATACATAGTCTCCCTCAAAAAAACCCAACAAACTGAAAAAGCCTCAGATACTGACGTTATAAAAAAGAAAAAAATTCCACCAAAACTATGTAGAAATATGCCACATGTAAGAAATAGATTCTAACAGTTTGCATAGACATGCGCTTTATGGATGGTTAAGTAATACAGAAATTTTCATGCTTTCTTGGCACTATGCAACATGCAAAAATAAAGCCATTCACTGTATTAAGAAGCTTGTAAACTGAGGTTGGTAACCAAAATTTGAGGCAACAAATATTTGTTGTTGTTAAAATAGAAATTAATATTCTTGTGGGTGATAACAAGGAAGTTTGAGTAATTTGAATTGGATAATTATCATGTCAGTAGTTATGCTTAAAGGGGAAACAGAAGGAATGTGTTGGAACAGGTTGGTGAAAGCACAGGAGGGTAGGGATGGGCTGAGTCCAAGAAGGAAGCAAATGGAATATTTAAACTTTCTTCTCACAAATAAGAAGTGATGGAATTTCTTGAGAGATCAAGGTATGCAGGGAGGCTGGAATTTTAAAGCATTTAGGCAAGAGGGAAAAATGAAATGAAATTTTGAACAATGTCTAATGATTTGGCAATAGCAGTCTCATGGGATGATTCTTTAGGTAAAGTCTTTTTCTTGGCATTTGGAGCTACTTCACTAGATACAGAAAAGATAGCAAAGAATTGCAAGTCCTACTGAAACACAAAGTGTTATATGAACTGTGGCTTACTTGCATGTGTTAGGGAAATTTGGCAAGTAAATTATATTTAACCGCAGTACTTTTTTTTCTTCAACTGTTATATTTTCTAATGTGACAGACTAGCAATTGGTGGCTCCTCTGCTGTTGCTATTAAATGGTGTTTTCTCTCCTAGGGTTTGGACGTGGCAGAGGGAGAGGAGCAGGGAGGTTTTCAACCCAAGGCATGGGGTAAGAGACACAGAGAGCACAGATTTTGGCAAGGATCAAACTCACTGGCAATATTAATTGACAGTGTTGCCACTGTGTGTCTTAATGTTGCTGTATGTTTGATAAACCTGTATAGATACAAAAATTCAAAATATCTTAGATTATTAATGAATTATTTTTATCTTAAACCAGTATTTCTACCTAGACACACCTATACAAACGTAATGTGAGTTTACTCAATGTTAATATCTCAAACTTGGGGAACCCATTTGTACTTATCAGTAGCAGCCAATCTTATGTGTAATATGCTAAAGTTATTTTTTCCGACTTTTGCACTTGGGAGGATGAAGAGACTTCCTCTTCTAAAATCTATTTCTACTTTCATGTTAGCTATTTCAGCTACTCTCTTTGTACCTAATGTCTGCCTCACTCAAAAATATTTCTGCTTGACTGTTACTGATTTGCAGCTCCCAGTCAGTCTTGTAGTTGAGTTTGTAAAAAAACTTTTGATCTCTCTTCTGTGCATCATTAGTAAATGGTGTTTAATACTGTATTGATAGATGTAGGAAGTACAGTGCCCCCAGTAAACTTTTCTAGGTGGTTCTACTCTTTTAAGAAAACCAACCAATATTTACTAGGCAGAAAGATAATCTAGAGTGCACTCACTTCTAAAGCTGCAACCCTGTAATGCCATGGATCAGCTTCCCAGATTGTGGATTTTAGGTGGGTGAAGGAGAGAAGAGCAGTAGAAGAGGTAGGCTGAGCAAGGAGGTTTAGAAGGCTGAGTTATCAGACGGGGACAGCAGGGTCTGGGACACAGTTTATGACAGAGCAAAGAGCACAGCTCCATGTGTGGGCTCAGTGAAGAGGGATGGCAACTGCCAGGTTTCACTTGTTACCCCTTTCCTAATCTCTGTCTCTTCTCTCCAGATGATTGTGAAAAGAGTGTCAAGAGGGGGCCTAGTGTCAGACTTCATTCTTCTGTGTTCTTGTTGTTCTGCCTTGCTAGATGGAAATCCTTCCTCTTCAGGTTTACATAGTTGTCATGCTGTATAGAATAAGGGTAAACCCTTTAATCAAAATGTGGATAAAGCTATCCTGCTAATTTGATATTTCTAAGTTCTTGGGTTTGCATGGCAAGGTTTTGGCAGCAAGGGGAGGGGAGGACTACAGGGATGGCTTCTCCGAGAAGCTGCTGGAAGCTTCTCTTATGTCTGACAGAGCCAACGCCAGCTGGCTCCAAGACAGATCCACCACTGGCCAAGGCCGAGCCAAGCAGCGACAGTAGTAATGTATCAGATAACATATTTAAGGATGGGGTGTTGTGTCTGGTGCCCCATGTGTGGAGATGCGAGTTCTGACTCCATGTTTCAGAAGGCTGGTTTATTATATTATGATATATATTATATTAAAATTATATACTAAAAACTATACTAAAAGAACAGAAAGAAAAGGATTCATCAGAAGGCTAGAAAGAGCAAGAATAGAATGCATAACAAAATCTTGTGACTGCTCACAGCCTCGACACAGGTGGCTGTGATTGGTCACCAAGTTAAAACAATCCACATGGACCAATCACAGATGCACCTGTTGTATTCCACAGCAGCAGATAGTTATCATTTACATTTCTCTCCTGAGGCTCCTCAGCTTCTCAGGAGGGAAAAATCCTAGCAAAGGATTTTTCATAAAATATCATGGCTACAATGGGGAAAAAAATATTGCACAGAAGTAATTGCATCCAAGGAAGAGAGGAGTGACAATATGTGAGAAACAGTGCTGGAGACTCCCAGGTCAGTGAAGGAGGTGCAGGATGTGCTCCAGGTGCCAGAGCTGAGATTCCCCTGCAGCTCATGGTGAAGACCTGCAAGATGTCTACCTGCAGCCCATGAAGGTCCACAGGAGAGCACAGACTCATCTGCAGCCTGTGGAAGACCCCACGCTGGAGCAGGTAGATGCCCAAAAGAAGGTTGTCACCCCATGGGAAGTCTGTGCTGGAGTAGGGTCCTGGCAGGACCTGTGGCCCCATGAAGAGAGAAGCCCACATTGGAGCAGGTTTGCTGGCAGGACTTGTCACCCCGTGGGGGACCCATGCTGGAGCAACCTGTTCCTGAAGGACTGACCCTATGAAAGGGATCCATGCTGGAGCAGTTCATGAAGAACTGCAGCTTGTGGGAAAGACTCACACTGGAGAAGTTCATGAAGGACTTTCCCATGGGAAGGACCTCATGCAGGAACAGGGGAAGGACTCCTTTACCTGAAGAGAAAGCAGTGACAGAAACATGATGAACTGTCTGTAACCTCCATTCCTCATCTCACTGCACTGTTGGGGGAGAGGGGGTAGAAAATCGGGAATAAAGTTAATCCTGGAAGGAGGGGGAAGTGGGGGGAAGGTGTTTTTAAGATTTGTTTTACTTCTCATTATCATTATCTTACTCTGATTTTGATCATAATTTCAATTAATTTCTCCAAGTCAGGTTTGTTTAGTCTGTGATGGTAATTGGTGAGTGATCTCTCCCCTGTCCATTTGTGATGGGGGGTGATCAGAGCAGTTTTGGTGGGCACCTGACCTCCAGCCAAGGTCAAACCACCACAGTATTTTAGCAGTCCAGAAATGTATTTTAAAACATGGATAGTGAACTAGGGCAAGGAGGAGAACAAGTGGTGAGGGGAGGAAAAGGAAAGTCATTAAAATAGGAACTTTCTAAACTGAATTTGCCATGTCTTGGAGGTACTGTTTATTCAGTTTAGATGGTCCCCTCAAAATAAGGGGTAATTTTGATGCAAATTTGAAGCCTTTCATAGGTAATTCTGATGTTTTGACAACCAGTATATCAGTGACTTAGGATTATAACTTTTGTGTTCTGGCAAGCTTGTAGTTGTTCAGTGACTTTTTATAACCACATAATTTTGTCATTAAAATAAACATCACTTTTTTCTCAGCAGCAACTCTTGTAATAGCAAATAATATACATAGTCTCCCTCAAAAAAACCCAACAAACTGAAAAAGCCTCAGATACTGACGTTATAAAAAAGAAAAAAATTCCACCAAAACTATGTAGAAATATGCCACATGTAAGAAATAGATTCTAACAGTTTGCATAGACATGCGCTTTATGGATGGTTAAGTAATACAGAAATTTTCATGCTTTCTTGGCACTATGCAACATGCAAAAATAAAGCCATTCACTGTATTAAGAAGCTTGTAAACTGAGGTTGGTAACCAAAATTTGAGGCAACAAATATTTGTTGTTGTTAAAATAGAAATTAATATTCTTGTGGGTGATAACAAGGAAGTTTGAGTAATTTGAATTGGATAATTATCATGTCAGTAGTTATGCTTAAAGGGGAAACAGAAGGAATGTGTTGGAACAGGTTGGTGAAAGCACAGGAGGGTAGGGATGGGCTGAGTCCAAGAAGGAAGCAAATGGAATATTTAAACTTTCTTCTCACAAATAAGAAGTGATGGAATTTCTTGAGAGATCAAGGTATGCAGGGAGGCTGGAATTTTAAAGCATTTAGGCAAGAGGGAAAAATGAAATGAAATTTTGAACAATGTCTAATGATTTGGCAATAGCAGTCTCATGGGATGATTCTTTAGGTAAAGTCTTTTTCTTGGCATTTGGAGCTACTTCACTAGATACAGAAAAGATAGCAAAGAATTGCAAGTCCTACTGAAACACAAAGTGTTATATGAACTGTGGCTTACTTGCATGTGTTAGGGAAATTTGGCAAGTAAATTATATTTAACCGCAGTACTTTTTTTTCTTCAACTGTTATATTTTCTAATGTGACAGACTAGCAATTGGTGGCTCCTCTGCTGTTGCTATTAAATGGTGTTTTCTCTCCTAGGGTTTGGACGTGGCAGAGGGAGAGGAGCAGGGAGGTTTTCAACCCAAGGCATGGGGTAAGAGACACAGAGAGCACAGATTTTGGCAAGGATCAAACTCACTGGCAATATTAATTGACAGTGTTGCCACTGTGTGTCTTAATGTTGCTGTATGTTTGATAAACCTGTATAGATACAAAAATTCAAAATATCTTAGATTATTAATGAATTATTTTTATCTTAAACCAGTATTTCTACCTAGACACACCTATACAAACGTAATGTGAGTTTACTCAATGTTAATATCTCAAACTTGGGGAACCCATTTGTACTTATCAGTAGCAGCCATCAGTAGTGTCTTGGAGACTGAAAGTTTTGCGTGGTGCATATAGTTCTAGGTCAATTTAAAAAAAATTGTTTCAGTGTAATGTAGAACTTTCAAGTTCTATATAAAACCAGAAAGACTAGTGATTCTAAACTTTCTTCGGTTTTTGAGGTTTCATGCTTTAGCTGTTTGGACGTACATTCACCCTAAAACAAAATCAAGTTACTCAGCAGCTCTAAAGTTTGTTCTCAGTTTTGGTGGAATAACTTGCTTTATGAAGTGTAGCCTCCACTACTTTCACTCAGTATTTGCCTTTAATGACATTTCATGTGACATCATTGATGTCATGATGAACAGAAGATTAAGTCTACTTTTCTGATAGTTCTTCTTGTTCATACTTGTAGATGATAAACTGAAAAGAGGTTTTTCTTCAATGATCCTTTTTCATCTTTTAGCTTCATCTGTGTGTTTTAGCATTGGTGTCAAGAGTGCATTCTGAAATAGTCTTACCAATGTTCTGACTCCTGTCCTGCACAGATCTGGTGCTTTGAAAGGACATGATACTGGTTTCTCATCAGTAAGCCACCTTCTGAGAAACTATCACCTGAGAGAGGCTTATCATTGTGCATATAAACTAATGCTTTATAAGACTGGAGGAGTAGGTATGCTGTTAACTGCTATTTCAGGAATTGTTGGTTTGGTTCAGTTTCTCTACAGTAATTTTTTTTCAGTCTCTTCACTTTTTTTTCTCCCCTTCTTTTCTCCCTCTTTTATCTGTGTCTGCTCATAGAGAAAAAGTTTTTGAAACTAAAACTATCAAGATAGATTATGTGGAAATCAAGAAGTTAAACCTAATGCAACTTCAGATAAAAATGACATCTATGTTCATTGAATGACCCATGTATTCTCTTCCATTTTTAAACTTTTAAAACTCTAGGACATTTAACCCTGCAGACTATATGGAGTCTTCTGCCACTGATGGCTTTGGGACAAAATCAGAGATTTGGGAGACTGGTCAGAATGATGCAGATGATGGAACTGGTAAGATGCTTCAAGAAGTGGAAGGATTGAAATTAAGACCTGTAGCAAATTGCAGTTGAAATAACCATTCTGTTAGTGTTCAGTTAACTTCTGAAAATGTGAATACATTTCACATGACACAGATATTAGTTCTTTTTTATAGCTTAATTGCTACTAATGTGCAGAGCACATGCTGTAGCCTGACTCTCTTTGTTAGAATGAAGGGAAGGCAATTGCAACTTTTTTCATTTAATGCTAACAAACCCTTGAGAGACAAAGGGATTTGAAGAGTTATTGGAAGAGTCTTGTATGTGAAGAACTGTGTTGAAGGAGAAGCCAATGCCTGAGCATTCTCACACCATTCAAGGAGTCACACACGTACCACCTGAGACTTTAACTGCTTAGACCAGAGTCCCTTTGTAGTAGGCAGCTCCAGTGAACCAATGGGTGCCCCTTTCGACTCCTTGCTAACACACATTCACTCTCAGGTGTGCTTCCTCCTTCTTCAGGCTTGACCCTAGGTTTCCCACAGCAGAGTCTCAGGCATCTGATTTTATAAAAATAATTTAAGAGTGGTACAGCAGCAGGTTGACTTGACCTGGGTGCCTCTAGAAAGGGACCCCAAACAAAGAAAACTCTAGACTTTTATGCCCTCGTAGTCTATGCACACGTTCTTCACCCATTCTTCACGTACTGATGACGCTGTTGAGTCAGGGACATGAAGAAAAGACTTCAGTTTTCAGAAGGTGAATCAGAAGGCTTTAATGAAAAATAGCGCGTCCTTTCATAATGTGACTCGCTAAGGTGATACTTGATTGGTCTCAAAGTAAAAACCTCTCACACTATTGGTGAACTATGAAGAGCACACTCTGGAGAACCGTATCTATAAACAACAGTTACAGAGAGATAATAATTGTTTTAATTCTTTCTCTGAGCTTTCTCACAGCTTCCCAGGAAAATCCTGGGAGAACTATGTCTCTCTCTGTTCAGAGGATATGTGATTACCACATACATTCACACACCTCTTGGTCCAATGGTGATTTTTGGTCTGGGGTCTTATAACCCTTTATTGTATTCTTTCTGTGTCCACAGACAGGTCACTAATTGTTCTTATCTTGTCAAGTCGCAACTTCTGTTGATGGCTGTAGCCTTTTTATCTTCTGGTTTGTACTTCTTGTGCACTAGCTCAGTTGACAGAGCATGGAAAACTGAAAAGTCTTTGATTTAGAGTAAACACTATGTAGCAACAACTAAAACATCAGTGTATTATCAACATTATTCTCATACTGAATCCAAAACACAGCACTGTACCAGCTACTGAGAAGAAAATTAAGTCTATTCTAGTCAAGAGCATACCTAGGTGAAAGTGAATTTTTTTGCATGTCACATTAACATATATTCTATTCACTTGAAATTCCATGTCCAACCATACACGACAACTGGAAGTGACTGTTCAACAACAGTTAGTAGCATCGGAACAATGAACTTTCTTCTTGCTGATTATCAAAGTTAGATTTTGAGCTGTATCTGATTTGCAAAGAGAGAGCTCTTTCATTGGGTTTTCCAAGGTTTGGTCACCCATCCCGTAAAAGTCTATGTCACTGTCCTGGTTTAGGGCAAACTTGGGAGAAAACCTCCAAAAAGGGCCCCTCCAGAAAGCAAACCCACACAGCCCCTCCCTCCAACTGGTTTGGGAAGGATTCCTCAGAGAGAAGTGGAAAGAACCTGTTTATTTAACAGGCACAGCACCCCCAGCACACAAAATGAACAATACTGGATGACAAAACTCTTTCATCACTCTGAAAAAGATGACAAATTCAGAAAGTCTCTCATGGGAGTGGTCACTCTGTTATCGGTCCCTCCGGCGCTGGGGATGGCTGCTGCAGGCCACAAGGTGCAAACTCTTGGTGTTTCCCAGGTCCCAGTCCGGAGCAGGCTCAAGTGGTTCCAACAAAGGGAAAGAAAAACAGTCCAGGGAAAATTTGGACTGCCTAGTTAAACTAACAAGCAGAAGCAAAAGCAAGAGCAAAGCAGGAGCAAAGCAGGAGTGAGAGCAAAAGCAAGAGCAAAAAGCAAAAGCAGCACTATGTACTGCCCCCGTCTCTGTGTCCCACCAACCGTTGGGGGAGTGAGCAGACTGATAATAAAACAAAACAAAGCTTCGCTCTTCAGAGCCAGTCTTGAAGGTAGAGAACATAATATCCAGCATAAACAGAACAACGACTGGGGATACAAGCATCATAATGTCACCCTAGGACAGTCACATACCTCCCCTTTAGTCTTGTTAACTTTATACCACAGTGGGTCATCCATTGACTTTATACTTAGCCATGCAGTTTTGGTCCTCTTGATTAACAGCACCAAGAGTACTGAGATGCTCCACTTCATGTCTTTGGTATATAGATTCTTTCCAATGCAGATATTTCTTAGCTGGTTGGTTATTCATTGCTCATTTGACATGAGAATGGTATATCCAATTTTCTTTTCATAAAACTTTAAAAGTAAAATTAGAACACATTAAGACAGTATATGGCCTCTCCCATTTGTGTTCTAATTTGGATTTTTGTGAAAATACCTTAATTAACACTTCCATCTCCAGGTTGTATATTAGGTACCTGTATTTCAGGTGGTGTGGACTGACACAATTGAACCTACTTCCTTTTTTCCTCAAACCCCTTTTACATATATATAACATTCTAGTTCTAGTACTTTAGAACTTGTGACAAAATGAAAATGTCAATGACCAGCTGGAGTGAATGGGTCTCTACCTGGGAATGGATGAAGAGCCGAACAAGAGTTTATGGGTCAGGATTAAAGGGAGAGGAGGGACAGGTGACATTATAGTGGGGGTCTGCTACAGGCCACCCAACCAGGAAGACCAAACTGATAAGGCCCTCTACAGACAGGTAGAAGTGGCTTCAAGTTCACAAGCCCTGGTCCTCATGAGGAGTGACTTCTACCACCCCATTATCTGCTGGAAGGACAACACCACAGCAGGGTACAACCAATCCAAGAGTTGACAGGAATATGTTGATGGCAACTTCCTTCTCCAAGTGATAGAGGAACCAACAAGGACAGGTGCTATGTTGGACCTTGTTCTCACCAACAAGAAGGGGCTGGTGGGGGATGTTAAGCTCAAGGGCAGCCTGGGCTGCAGTGACCATGAAATGGTGGAGTTTCAGAACCTTAGAGCAGCAGCAAGGAGGATGCACAACAAGCTTACTGCCCTGGACTTCAGGAGAGCAGACTTTGGTCTCTTCGGGGATCTGCTTGGTAGAGTCTCATGGGATAAAGCCCTGTAAAGGAGGTCCAAGAGAACTGGTTGATGTTCAAGGATCGCCTCCTCTAAGCTCAGGAGCAATGCATCCTAATGAAGAGGGAATCAAGCAAAAATGCTAGGAGGCCTGCATGGATGAAGAAGGATATGTTGATGGCAACTTCCTTCTCCAAGTGATAGAGGAACCAACAAGGACAGGTGCTATGTTGGACCTTGTTCTCACCAACAAGAAGGGGCTGGTGGGGGATGTTAAGCTCAAGGGCAGCCTGGGCTGCAGTGACCATGAAATGGTGGAGTTTCAGAACCTTAGAGCAGCAGCAAGGAGGATGCACAACAAGCTTACTGCCCTGGACTTCAGGAGAGCAGACTTTGGTCTCTTCGGGGATCTGCTTGGTAGAGTCTCATGGGATAAAGCCCTGTAAAGGAGGTCCAAGAGAACTGGTTGATGTTCAAGGATCGCCTCCTCTAAGCTCAGGAGCAATGCATCCTAATGAAGAGGGAATCAAGCAAAAATGCTAGGAGGCCTGCATGGATGAAGAAGGAGCTGCTGGACAAACTTAAACACAAAATGGAAGCCTACAGAGGGTAGAAGCAGGGACATATAGCCTGGGAGGAATATAGATTGTCTGAGCAGCCAGGAATCAGGTTAGGAAAGCTAAAGCTCCAACAGAACTAAACCTGTCCAGGGATGCCAAAGGCAACAAGAAAAGCTTCTGTGGGTAAATTGGTGATAAAAGAAAGACTAGGAAAAATGTGGACCCTCTCTCGAAGGACAGAGGAGACCTGGTTATCCAGGTCATAGAGAAGGCTGAGGTACTCAACAAACTTTTTTTGCCTTAGTCTTCACCAGCAGGTGTTCCAGCCACACCACCCTAGTTGCAGAAGGCAAAGGCAGGGAATGGGAAAATGAGGAACTGCCTGCTAGAGGAGAAGATCAAGTTTGAGACCATTTAAGGAACCTGGAGGTGCACAAGTTCATGTGCACTGGAAAAGGGGAAATATAACCTGCATTTATAAGAAGGGAAATAAGGAAGAGCCAGGAGCCTACAGGCCGATCAGTTTCACCTCAGTGCCTGGCAAGATCATGGACCAGATCCTCCCGGAAACTATGCTAAGGCATAAGGAAAATAAGGAGGTGATTGGTGACAGCCAACATAGCTTCACTAAGGGTGAATCGTGCTTGACAAATTTGGTGGCCTTCTATGACAGGGTTTACAGATGTGGTGGATGAGAGAAGAGTGACTGACATCATCTACCTGGACTTGTGCAAAGCATTTGACATTGTCCCGCACAACATCCTTGTCTCTAAACTGGAGAGACATGGATTTGGTGGGTGCACCACGCAGTGCATAAGGAGTTGGCTGGATGGTCGCACTCAAAGAGTTGCAGTCAAGGGCTCAATGTCCAAGTGGAGACTAGTGATAAGTGGTGTTCCTCAGGGATTGTTGTTGGGACCAGTGCTGTTTAACATCTTTGTCAGTGACATGGACAGGGGGGATTGAGTGCACCCTCAGCAAGTTTCCTGAAGAGACCAAGCTGTGTGGTGCGGTCAACACACTGGAAGGAAGGGATGCCATTTCGAGTGACCTTGACAGGTGGGCCTGTGCAAACTTCATGTAGTTCAACAAGTCTAAGTGCAAGGTCCTGCACTTGGGTCAGGGAAATCCCAAGCACAAATACAAGGTGGGTGGGACTGAGAGCAGCCCTAGGGAATTGGTAGGTGAAAAAATGAGTAGTTGTTATA